AGTGGCCTCTGTGCAAAGGCTAGGGAAGGGATGGCTTCTGCATGCCTGCTACTGAGCCTTATGTCCCATACAGTGCTACACTCAGTGGCTGAGCATTGTACCAGTTGAGCTCTGAGGTACTCTGTCAGCCCTGCTGATGGCTGATCCCCTGAGCCAGTTTCCTGAGCAGACTAGACAGCCTGCTGTTTTCTCCTTGTCTCTTATCACCCCTTGTCATTAAAGGAGAGGCCTGGCATCAACTTCAATCCAGGCTACTCCAAAGCAGTCCAGGGAAGGAGAGGGAGTGCTCAGCTGCTCCTCACCCTGCTACTGCCTTCTCTAGCACCTTGGGGATGATTAAGCCAGGAGTAAATTCCAGCATGTGAGGGCTAAAACTTCATGGTCAAGGGGAGCATTACAGGGGTCCTGGGGGCCTTCAGGTTTCATTTCTCACTTTCCTCTGTGCTGCCTTCCCTGGTCTTGAGTCCTGACTGGGTTATGCAGTAGAACTTCAAAGGCTTTCCTGAGGATTTGTTGTTTTGTTTTGTTTTTAGCAATTCTGCTTCCCAAGAGAAGTCTTACCCCAGGACCACGGCTCTCCTCCTCACCCCATTAGCATAAAGTCAGATCAGGGACTGAACTCACTGGCATTCTTCTATTCCCTTGGAGCTCCAGCTGTTCTTCAATTTTGCTTTTCTAAGAAAAGCAGGAGGGGGAAAAGGGGTATTTTTGTGCCACTCACAGCGCCATGTCTTAAATTCCTGAAGAGGTTTAACCAAGGTTTCCATCAGTCTTGATTTTCCTTAGTAACATCCCTGTCTGTATACTTCAGTATTTATGGCATTCAAAAGTCAATTTATTTCAATATGTACATTAGAAATTTAACAACATCCTGCTGAGAGATCTTACAGTCATGAAGTCTCTCCTCACCAGATGTTACTTGCAAACCTTACCACAGACCTGGCTGAGGAAACACTGTACCCAACTCATAGTTCAATCTAAATATTAGAATGTCCCCCAAAGCAAACTTAGTGAAAAGGAAGAAAAAGAAACAAAGCTATAAGTTTGGGAGTTCTCCTTCTGGATGTACTTTGCTCCCTCTAATTCTCTACTGTGATTTTAAGAAAAGGGGACGGGGTGTCTGTTAAGTAACAATCAAAATCAAATGGAGGGAGAGTAACCAGTGTTACTGAAAGGTGTGTTGTTATCTTGAGTGATGCAAAGAGAGCCCAGATATCTGAGGGAAAGGGGCCTCTAGGAGAGGAGACTAATGGCAGCATGGGCTCTCCTTTTCTGGATTGTCGTTCACTACCGTGGGCTCAGGAGCTGACTTAATGACTTTTCCAGGATTTGGTCTGGCGCTTTATCTGTTCACGGTAACAAGGACATGAGCCAGGAAAGCCTGAAAAATTGCTGCAGCAAAACATACCCTTCTGCCAGGCTGCTGCTTGCAGCTTGTCCGTGGGTGCCAGCCTGAGCTATGCTTGGGTGCTGTGGCTGCAGAAAAACTCCTCAGGGCAGGGAGTCAGGAGTCTGAAGAAGAGAGCAGGTCTGCACAGAGATGTTTTCCCCTTTCCTTCTGCTGTTTGGCTGCTGTAAAATGCTTGGTTAAACCTAATTGAATTTGACAATAATAAATTACATATTGAAACTGTATAGTTCACCTTCAGAATAGCAATGAAACAGTGAAGACACTAGAAGCCAGAATTCAGGAAATGTCACATTCATATAAAAATGCTTTAAATTTTTCTTAGAGCTTTATTGTCTGTTTTTCCCCCCAGAAAGGATTCAGACCACCCAGTACATAAAGTTCTTTCTAGAAACTCTACATAAAATCATCACTTTAATTCTGCTTTTGCCCCTGTTGTCACATGATGGCAGTAAGCCTATAAAGAAAGAACTGAAGGGTTCACAAAGAAGAGCTAGTAGGTAAACCAGCTCTGCTCACTTGTCCTCTGGAGCTGATGGCTCTATTGAAGGAGGTTTGTGGAAGTTCAGATGTACTGAAAGACTGAAATATAAAGGGAATGTATATTGTGGCCTTGCTCCCCAAGATCCTGTGTGAGCACTGCAACGCCTCACATCCTCGCAGGAGCCTAGCAGGAGCCCAGCTTCCAACCCTGACTTTTCCGCAGGTCAGAGGAAGTGGTGTTTAAAGGAGCATTTCCTGTCTGCCCTCCTGTCCAGCTCTGTGTGCCCTTCACAGGCAGGTCCTCCCATACCACCCCTGAAGAGTAACTGTGCCAAGAACCTTGCCAATGAACCACTGACTAGATCCTTCCTATAAATGATACCAGGGTAGAAAGTTAAGTTTCTTTGGACAGTGAAGTGCAAAACAAGCTGGATTATTCTGGTTCTCTTACAAGTTGATGTGTATGAGGGGGCCTGGGAGTTAGAGGAGTAGATAACTCAGTGCTTAGAACACTTGCCTAGTTGGAAAAAATTTTGATTTGACAGAAACATCTTGACTGACCCACTTGTTGGCTCAGTGGCAGCTGGCAAGCAGAGCCACTGTTTTGTTCTGAGGGGACCTCATCCTCTTCCTTCCCAAGGTCTCTTGGTCTAATTAAATTTCAGGGAGACATAGCTTTGGCAGAAGGTTAAAAGAAGCTGCTAGGCTGTAGCCTAAGAGCTAGGCTCACAACTAAATTGGGAAGTTTAACTGGGCCTGTCTCTGGTTTCAATGAAATATTTTTACAGTGTATGGTAGTGGTGTTTGTTGCTAAGCTTTTGAAAGCCATTTTTCTTTTTCCTTAATTGTAGTTCCCTGGTTGTTTTTATATTATGAGCTACTTGTAGGAAAATACAGGAAACATAATTACAATACAAAGCTCCCTTTCCCAAGCCTACTGAGATCATTTGAAGCCAAACTGGGTTTTAGGGTTTTTTTAAGCTGTGTGTTCACAGCCATGAATTGCATCCATGCTGTGCTGGTTGATTTACAGCCAGTGGTGTGTGATTCAACAGTAACCATGCTCTCCATGTAGCTACAGTAGGACTGATGGAGGAGCCGGCCAACATGGCTTCATGGCTCCATACTGCACGGCTTCTTCTGGGGAAAAAAAAAAAAAGGTGTATTTTTGTGTGAAGTTTGCACTAGAGAGAAGCATTGTAGAAATATATACAAGCTTATTTAGGGAAAGTAAAGAGAAATAAATTACTTGGTTTGTTTTTCCATTTACATTGGCAGCTCCAGGTAGCACTGTGTTAAAATGCTAATTACTAATTCTTGTATCCTACTTTTCCTGTAGAGTCTGTAAATGGGCTTTTAGGCTAGCAGAAATCACTTGCTTTATGCTGGTTAACACTCTGGGGAGGAAGTAGGTACTTCAGCATATTGTGAAATGCAAAGCCTTTGGGAGATGATTTACTCAAGCCTAAAAAGCAATGATGGATGGTTGAGAATGAGAATCCCTGAATGTCTTCTGCTAGGGGGAAGATTCAGGCAGGGAAGTGGGATCCCACCTCTTCCTGGAAGGCCCAGGTGCTCACCAAGTGAGCAGGACAAGCAGGTCCTGCCCAGCCCCTGGCCTGCCCATCTGGAATGCAGATCGAAATGCCCTTGCCTGTCATGTTCAGGGAAGCCCGAAGCAAATAAGCAGGAGAGGCTTCCAGAGCAGCTTGGTTTTCTGCGGCTGGTACTTGGTGCAGCTGCATTCAGTTGGTCTTTAACAGTGTGCATTTAAAACAGTATCTTACTGGAGTAATTGTCACTTTAAAGGTCACTTTTTTCCTCCTGCCTCACATTGCTGGTTATTTTGAGTCTTAGTATCTGCACTATGCATATGAATATGATGTAGCTGGTCTCCGCTTTTTTTTTTTCCTTTCCTCCCTCCTTTCCTTCCTTTCTTTGCTCTTTAGTTCATCTTGAAATTCCCATCACAGTCTTGAGACCTGCAATAAAGAAACCGAATGGGATTCGTTTCTTCTCTAGCATTTTTTAAATCAAGTCTTCCTTCCTAGGAACCTTAAATGAATGAATATGAATTTCTCTTGCTAGACCTTTCCCAAGGCCTGGTATATTAGGGGTTCCTCTCAATAAAATCAGAGCCCAGTTGTCAGATCTGGAGAGCAAAGCCTTCATTCAGACGTTGATAAGGCGCTGTACAGGGCTTTGAGGTTCTAGTGCTCTGGGCCCGGTCTCTTGTATGGAGCTGCAAGTTCCTCTGAAAGTCAACCCTGGAGGAGTTTAGGGGCTGGCGAAGGCGCAGGGGCTCAAATGCCTTGCGCTTTCAAATTGTGAATAGCACCACGTTATTGGGTAGTGAAAGAAAATCCTCATTTTCTAAGGAATAAGGAGAAGGGTAGAGTAGAACAGAACAGACCACAGACAGTATACCATAGCCTTTTAAAGAAGAGTACAACGTCAGTTTCGGTTTATGAGCGTGTGGGTGCGCTGCTGACGGTCTGAACCGTCTTCTCCATAGAGCAGCCGAGCCGCTGTGGCTCAGCTCCCGGGCCCCCTTCCCTGGCGGAACAGTGCCCGGCTGCCTGCACCCTCCGCGGCGCGGGCCGTCCCGAGAGCCGGAACTTCCCAGAGGAAGACCTGCCAGAGTGGGGGACTCGAGGGCTGGAGACCCAGGGTAAGGGATAGGGTAGACAGAAGACCGGGAAAAGGGGACTTGAGGGTGAAGGCATAGGTGGGGAGACCCACGGCCCCGGGGACCCGAAACAAGCGCCCAGCAGCCGAGGTCCGAGTGTTCGGCTTGGGGGCATGGTCTACCCTCAGCCATGTGGAGAAGTGTAGTAATTCAAAACAGTTCTCCTAGTAATGCCCTAACAATTTAAATTCTTTTTTAAAAGCCCTCAGAATCGCTGAGATATGAAGGGCCGGGGCGATGGGTGAGACGCGGAGATTGCTCACCGTCAGGGTGCTCGCGGGCTTTAACAGTGGATTCTTTGGCGCGACCTTCTTGAGATTTACAGCGACTGCCTAGCTGACCGTGCCCAGAGACTGATGGGAAGTGGGGCGTTCAGCGGGCCACCCCCACGCACTTCATCAGCTCTCTCTCTCTCCACAGGACTTTCTGCAGGGAGACTGCTCCAAAGCACGGCAGAAACTGAACTGGAAGCCCCGGGTCGCCTTTGACGTAAGTTATGTCTCTACGCGCGGGTCCTACGGCTGCAAGCTGCGGGCCCCTGCGGGTGGGTGAGGGGGCAGGAGGCCTCGCGGGCCTTGGGAAGGTGTTACTGAGAAGGTGGCACAAACTCCGCCCTCACCACCCACCCTGGTCTTGGGTCGCAGGAGCTGGTGAGGGAGATGGTGCAGGCCGATGTGGAGCTCATGAGGACCAACCCCAACGCCTGAGCGACAAAGCGCCTTGCCAGTTCTGAGCCCACGACCCAAAATCCAGCGACTCTTGCGACCCTGCGCCCTTGAGTGTCATCCCAGCCGCTAGAGTTGAGGTTTGTAGCAGCCAGGATGAGACAAACCGCAGCCGTATTGAAGCCTCTTGACTGAATGATTTGGGGAAATCAAGGTGTTTTAATCACATAGTCATTTTACTCGAAATTATGTCACTAGACAAATTTGGGGGCCTTCAGATTGTTTTTCTCTTTTCTTATTAAATGATCTTTCTATGAACTAGCATTAAGAGTTACTGTCAATATTTTATCCAAGTTATAATATAAAGGCTGCTTATGGGCTGTCAAACAATTCACCCAAATCCACAGCTGGGGATAAAATAGGCCTTAGTTCCTTTTGGGAAACCCCCTACCCTGAGCTGCCCTCTGCAGAGCATCCTGGTAAGTCTCTTCCTCTGACTTATCTATCCCTTCCTGAACTGAGGTATTCATAATTCTAGTCTTTGCTGACTAGTTAGAACCCCTGCACCCACCCCCTCAGGAGAAGGCTGGTGAGCTGAGGAGTTAGAAGAAAAAACTTGTGGTAAGTAAATGTCTATGTCAAAGCCTCTGGGCTACCCAGAGGTCTCCTAGCCTAACCCTCCACTTAGGGTCAGAATCTTTCACACAATACTTATTTTTATTATTGCTTCTCATAAATACTAGATCACTTTTTAAACTGAATTTTGATTCATTCATTTAACCAATTTATATCCAGTGCCTAATATACCAGACATTGTACCGATTTAATTGGAAGATATGGTAAGGAGGCTTAAGACCCAGCATTAGATCCCAAGAGTGTGAGTGCACCATTTAGGTGCAGAGTTATAACCACAGGCCTGTACCCCTGAGCTGTTGCTGTGTAGGTAGGGTCACACCTAAATGTACAGAACACTCCAGAGAGCAAGCAAGGTCTGCTTGCAGGTACACACTCTTGCATCAAATAGTCTTTTAGCCTAGAACAAATGAGGTCAGGACTCTTCTCCCCCTCACTCCCCTTCCAAAGCAAAATAAAATAAAACTGCAGCGAATGGCATTCCAGTCTTTGCACATGCATGAGAGTGCGGGTGAAGTATTTCTGAATGTCTTCACGGGCAGGTTTATGATCTGGGGGAGGACTAGGGCTCCAGGGCTGGTGCAGAGAGGGCTCTTTGTGGGGCTCCCTATGTTGTGAGAACATGCTGGCCAGGGCGGCCTCAGCCCCCACGAAGCAAAACTGGGTTGGCCATGCTGGCCCACCCAGTTCTCAGAAGCTTCCCCAAGAGGAACCTGCTGTCTCTGCTCCCCAGTGGGATGCTGCTAATTGGAAACAGATGGTCCCTGGGAGATGGGGCCCTGAAGACTGGGCAGGCTGGTGGGCATATGCATATGCACTCACACATGGGTATACACTGTTACCTACAAACTCAAGCACACATCCACTCACATATACAAACGTACTCACAAACATGCCATCTCACTTTCAACACACTCACAAATACTTGGAAACCCACTGTCCCAAATACTGTCACATTCTCAAATCTCACAATCACATGCTCCTTAGCCTTGAGCCTGATGGACAGACCCTCTCTCTCCTCTGACCACCTAAGTCCCTCATTTAACACCCAGAAGTCATTCCAGAGGCCTGCAGGCCTGCAGTGGCTGTTTAATTCAATGTTTTGTGGCTTTTTAGCTGAAAGCCATAATGAGCTCCTTGGGGAGGACCAGGAGAAATCCTGGGCAGGGGTTCAGTGTGACTTGAGGAAGCCAAGGGAACAAAACCATCAGTTTCTAAAGGGAAAAGTATTTTTACCTTGTCACTATTCCCACCCCCCTCAATCACAGTTGGAGGGGTCCTCTGACTTCCCCGATAGTATGTGTTTAAAAGGAAAAAAACAGCAGATGTGCTTCAGAATTTAACTTTCTGCTCTGGGAGAAATCCTCGTACCCTTCTTCAAGTCCTAATTAAAGGGTTTCTTCTATCTTAAATCTCAATCTGATTTCATCAATTTTTGTGTATCCCTCAAACTTCCTTTTTTTTCCCCGTTCTGCAAACAATGAATATACATTTTAAGTATTATAGCACATTTCCCAACTTTATTTAAAAAAAAAAAAACTAAGAAAGGTAAGTTGTCAGCACTCTCAAATTATGGTTGAGGAGGCAAACCAATATTTATTTACTAGAGGTAGGTCAAGCACTTGGATACTTGGGACACCCACTAACTATTCTGTCTTTCAGACTTGCTATTAGCTGTTCTGTGTCTGCTGCTCTTTGTCTTCAGTTCTCTGTAACTGTGTAGGGTGCAGGCTGCCAATCTGAAGGGAAGGGCTCCAGTACATTGGGAAACAGCGTTTCAACAGAAAATGGTCCAGATTGAAGCTGAACTGAGGGTCTTCAACATGTGCCAGATGAGGGGGCTAGTCATCTGTGCTTTGGGCTCCCTTTTAGTCCCCTTTAATCACCTTTACAAAACCAATCACTGAACTCCTTGGCAGCCTGTCAGATGATAGGCTACAAGTGAGTGTGATCTCCTCAATGTTCTTCAAGCTGGAAGCAGAAAGCAACACTTAAAAATTTCATTTTCAAATAACAACCAGTGCCCAGCTAGCTTAGTACAGCGTGACTCTCAAATAATAACCAGGGAACTGGGGATGTATCTCAGTGTAGAGAGCTCGTCTGGTAGGCAGGAAGCCTTGGGTTCATATCTAACAAAAAATGTTTTTAAATCATATCATTTAGATCTAGGTCTAACTACATAAAAGAGAAAGAAAAAAGAAAAATCTCAAAGCACTCAGGTACCTTCTTTGAATTTGGGAATTATAACCCAGCAGTCTGTTTAAAGCTGTATTCCAATGAATCTTAAGTTCACTCCTTATGTATTTTCCAGGATCTGCACCATAGCCTTAGCTGTTCAGCTGATGGCATGGGTGGGGAAAACTTCCACCCAAGTTTAACACCAAATTTGTGTGTCCCTGTGTGCTTGTCTTACAAAGAAATCAACATGTCCCAACCTGACTTCCATACCTCTCCAAAAATTGGGGTGGGGGTGCTGAGAACTTTCACAAGCAGCTGTAACACTTGAGTCACCCCCCAGTTCTGGAAATTGGGCCACCCTTCACAACCCGGTCATCTTGGGGTCCATAGTCTTCTTGGAAGGAATACTTGCGGAGACTAAGCCTATTCTGGGAGTTGGAGGTGGTCAGACTGTCCTGTGCCCTGAGGCCTTGTGCTCCCCTAGGCCTCCTACACAGCCATTAGGGCTGCATGGAGCACACATGGAGAACTGGACCCCACATCTTTCACTGTCCTTAGCATGGGAGGCTGTGCATCCTACCCTGCCTACCCTCCCAGGCCAAGCTCTACTAGCTCAAGACCTTCCCAAGGTATCACCCCACCCTCACTGGAGCCCTCTCCTTTGCCACAGAGTCTGCACTGAACTGACTTGACAATCATGGCCTGACCCCAGTTCATTCTGCTAATCCCTAATCCAGCCCATCTTCCAGGGTCAAGGGTCATACACAGCCAACCCATACAGTCTCAGCTGCCCTTCTGATTTCCGAATTCCCCGGGTCAAGATGCCTGCTAGAATGCAAGTTACCAGGGTGCACCAGACCCCAGTGTGCACCAAAGGTTCCCTATTGTGTAGCGCTCCAACCTCTGATGCCAAGGCCTAGACTGGTCGGACTCTGCTCACCTCAGAAGCTGAGGAGGAGGCTCCTAGTCTCTGGGTTTTCTAGCTTTGGCCTTGAGAGAAGGGGTGAGACCTTTGAGAATGTTCTTGGGAGTGCATGTATCCACGGGCCCCACAGCCTCAAGCTTGCAGCCCTGGTGCCCCGCAGCGGTGAAGTGGTGAAGAAGCATTGTCCTTCAAAAGAAAAGAAACCTTTCAAACCCTTGGCCCTGACAAAATGCACAGTGTGCCCTAGACACGGGGTGCACCACGACTTCCAGACCAAGGGTACAAAAGCCGGGAGGCCTGGGAACTCCACTGAAACCGGGGCTCCACCGACCCCCGCTGCTCCAAAGGCGGCCCTGGGCCCAGGCTGGCCTGAGAGGAATCAGCGCAGCCCGAGGCCGTCTGGAGTGGCTGGCCGCGGGCGAGGGAATGTATATTTGGAAGGGGTCAGGACCTCGGCTGGAGTCTGGCTTTTTATGGCGAGGAAGCTGACTGGGAAGGGCCTTCAGGCTTTCCTGTTGTGCCACTTTATCCCGTCGGCAACGCTGCTTGGGGAGCGGGACTGCACCGAGGAGGGAGGGAGGCCGTGGTCTGGGGACCAGGTCGCGATCCCAGACGGCGCGGAAGGCCTACCCTGAAACCAGCGGACAAACGCCGAAAACATTCTCCCACTGTCACCAAACGCACTTGCTGTAAATCACTTCCCTCCACCTCCCGGGTAGTCTGGACGCTGAGCTGAGCGGGTGCGGACATGAGGCTTTATCTACCCAGGGCTCCAGAGCTCTTTCTGGAAAAGTCTAGCACCCAGCCTGCCCTTTGCAGGAATAGCGTTGGGACTTCACCAGGGCTCCCCAGGACACGCAGGGCGGAGGCGCTGGCCGCGGCGCACACTCCTCCCCATGCGACTAGCCTGTCTTTCGTAGGTAGAGGTAATAAACTCATCCTTGGGATCGGGAGGAAGCTCTAGCTCACCGCCGCTGCTGTGCAGTGGGCCGCCGCTCTGGAAAGGCTCCACCGCCTCGTCAAGCCTGAGCGTGAACCCAGGGCTGCAGATTTGACCTGACTTAGGGGCCGGCTGCGGCCCTCGGCCTCCCGGGAAAGGCCTGACAAGGCCCTCTCCGCCGCTTCGGTCCCGGCGCTGAGTTGGGGTTTTGTTTTGTTTTGTTTGTTTGTTTGTTTGTTTTTGCTCATTCAGGACAGCGTTTTTGTTTCTCTGCTACCAAAGGAGGCCTTTAGAGTTAAGGGCACTAAAAGTGCCGGTTTCCCTGCTTTTTCCCAGAGTAGAAAATGGAAGGGGTCTCATCTCTTTCTTCTCCCTCTCCCTCTTTCCTTCCTTTCCATCCCATTTGTTGATGCGAGTCATTCCCAAAGCCCTCTAAACCCCTTCATTTCCCAAACTCAAATTCCTTGAACAGAGCCCCTTCAGCCTCTTGTACCTCTGTAGCCTGCTTAGGGTCCTTCCACCACCCAGGTCAAGTGAGAGGTCTCAACTGCCCAGCCCTGGCCACCCTCCCACTGCTGATTCTGGGCTCACAAACTGTTCTTCCATGCCCACCCAAGTAGGCCAAGTTATGTTGACTGAGGG